GATTCCTTGGTTACGGTACCAGACATGGAAGAGTACTCGTTGGCTCTCAAGTATTTTGATAAAAAGCGATGTTTTGTCCCGCTTAGGCTACCATGTGGATCCGATTATGCAATTTGAGTCTCCACTGATAAAGGAGTGTGTGAGTTTTGCGGATACCTTGGTTACGGTACCAGACATGGAAGAGTACTCGTTGGCTCTGAAATATTTTGATAAATTGCTGCAGCGGGTCGGTCCCTTTGATGATGAAGGGTTTGCGTTGCCTGGTAACAACTTGATGGCGCCGTATTACTCGCCCACCTTAGACGGTGGATTGTTTCCCTTAGACACATGGTTTGGGCAGAGTTGGTATATGAACGCTCCGTTCTCCAAGTTGGAGGCTGTGGTTTTAGATGGTCAAGTCGGATAGGGCCACTGCGACACTGGTAGTGCCGTATTATCCGGAGATTGCTTGGTTTAAGCAGATGGTACCTTTGTTGGCGGATACGCCGATTGTGATCCCGCCCGTGCATGGTGTGTTTTTGAAGCATGGGCATGAGCCGATGCCACCGCAGCCGTTTGTAACGTTGATTTGTTATCTCGGTCCGCGTTGTGAGAAGTTCACTTTGGCTGAGGGATTCTGGGCGGCGGTGGATGCACATCGACTTGTGACCAGTGCTTTGGTTGGAGCATTGACAAATTCGAGTGGTTCCGACGGTGGCTGGTGTTGTTGAGGAGCCTGTCCGTTGTGGCCATGGCCCTAGGCAGGGGGGTTTTGCCTTGACACCGATTGAGCACGTGGTTGGTACGTGTCCTTTCATGACGACCACTGTCATGCCTGGCGAGTCGGTGTTAGAAGAGTCCGTGAGACGGGATGAGCGAGAGTATGATGCGCATTGTGCGCGTTCAGTTGCGGTCATGACTTAGGCGCAAAGGTTGCGGGCATCTGCAGCTGATGCGAATGTGGCTGTTAGTGAAGAGCCGCCTGTTGAGGAGCCCGTGTCGTCGTTGGCCAGGGCGCGAGAGCAGTTGGCAGAACTTGGGGTGGCTGACCTGCCTGTGTTGCCGGTCTTTGGGCAGCTCACAGAGCGGCAGTTTCTAGAGGATTTGCGGTGTGGGCTGTATGGTCATGAAGTGGAGGGTCCTGTAGTCATGCGTGTCTTGCGCTATACGCATGAGTTGTTCTCCCATGTCACATCAGATCGCCTTGTACACCTAGTGAAAGAGTTGTCACATCGGATCGCCTTGTACATCTAGTTTAAGAGTTGTGGGGTTGGGCTGGCTTGCGTGCGCAGTGTGAGCATGTTTGGCGTAGCTGTGGGCCGTGTCAGGAGGCCTCGCCGATTCTGGGGCCTACTCAAAGGTTGCTTCAGCAACCGGAGCGTCCGGACTCAGTTATGGCTGAGATTAGCATGGATGGATTTTGTTCAGTTTCCGACAACGAATGTGGGGGGTCTCGTATGGCGTTTGTTCGGGTCTTCTCGCATAGTGTTGCTGATAGGGATGCTGTTCGAATTTTAGAAGAACAGGTTCTGGCCTTGGGAGTTCCGCAAAGGATCATTATGGACGCTGATTCTGTGTTCAACACTGATGCTATGGTTAACTTTTGTGAAGCTAGGCAGGTTGTGCCGTATTGATCGGCATCAAGGTAATGGGCGAGTGGAAGTTCTCATACGTACAATGAAGGACTGGCCTAAGCGTGAAGTGGCGGCTGCCAATGAGGAGGTTGGCTCCTGGGTGCATTCTGTTTATGATGTGGTGCGCACGTACAATGCGACGGTGAATTCGGTTACTGGAATTTCTCCATACTTTCACATGACTCGGCGTACATTTGTACATGCTCAGCGGGGTCAGCTACAAGAGCGGGTTCTGGAGAGGGTTTTAGGGTTATATA